AAAATGGTTTGTTAGAAAAAAGAATAGCAAATCATATTTATAAATATTGTTTAAAATCTGAACTGAAATCTCTTTTGTATGTTTAAATATCACTGTGAAAGAAAAAAGGAATGACGCCTTTTTATTTTTTTTCCGTATAACAATTGCATATTACATTAAATAGGGTTGACGCACACACAACACCTAAACAGCTTTTTGAGTATCCTCTTTTGAGACTATAATCGTTTGGCACTGAGACGTGGTCCTTCCCTGCTGGCCGTATGAGGAAACTCAAGGTCGCTCAGTGGGCTATGGAGAGGGCTAAGCTGTCGGGGCTTCTTCTGATAAACTTAGAAATGAGGATATCCGCAGTAGAACCAGAGTGACTGACATAGCCCAACGGATTAGTAAGCTGAAATGGGAATGGGGCGGCCATATAGCTCGAAGAACCGACAACCGACGGTAAAAAAAGGTTCCCGATTGGCAACCTCGTACCGGTAAGCGAAGTGTAAGAGCAGCCCACTAGATGGAGTGACGACCTGGTAAGACATGCAGGAAGTCGATGGATGCAGGTGGCTGAGAACCGTGCTTTGTGGCATTCCTTAAAATTGCAGCCTATTTACATCCCACTTCTGGGCACAGACCTCTCATTTCTGAGAGGGTTTTTGTGGCATTCCTTGGGGGGGGAGGTATATGTTCAATGATGATAATGATCTTAGATAGTTTTCAGATATTAATGACATATACATAATGGTATATCTTAGGACCACTATGAATAATAAAATTGTTTTTCATTTTATTTATTCATTAAATAATTATATCCTATCGAAGTCCACTGCTAAACATAGGTCTCCCCAATATATTTCTAAATACGAATATTTGTCAAAGTTTGCACACTTATAACCCTGGGGTTGGCATACACAGATTTTTTTAAAGTTGAGGTGGATGCTGCTGTCTATCTGTTTTATTCCCCTCTGTCGCCTCTCACGATACCCACGAGATGATGAGGTAGCGGATTCTCGTACGGTGCTACTGCAATATACTTAATTACTGTTATAAAATTCTATTTTCGTTTTATTTCCTTAATCAAGAGATGTTTTGTGTGTGTTAGTCCTAATTTAACGAAAGAATAACGGCTACATATTATTATAATATTTTCCTTTATAAAGCGATGATCTGTAAATCCATTTCGAATGATGAATCGATTTTGTTTTTCGGCTTGTTTGTAAATATTATTGTAAGCACGTGTACTTCGCGCAAACGACACCCGTTGTATTGTAGCGTATCGTATCGTATATTTAATTCTTTTGTACCTTAATACTAGCAGCTGTATAACTGAGAATATTGGTTCTATTCTAATTTTATTTTTGTAAATAGATAATGCAGGTCATGTAATACAATATTTTTGAAAATATACCAATATTTAGAACACCTGCCTATTATTTACTCCTAATTTTGTTCCAAATTTACTTTTTTCAGTTTAAAAATATTTGTGTCTTATCCGTGTAAAGTAAATTTACAACAATTATTATAAAAATAATAATAATAATAATCTGGTTGGGTTTTTATATATATTTATGTATTATTTATGTATTTATTTTATTTTATTCATATTTATGTATGTTTACCATTTTCATTTACAATTATATATTTATACTGCCCAACCAGATGAGAAAACTTTATAGATACCCCAACATAATCTAGGATAAGCTACAACCTGGTACAACTAGAGCACCGAGTCACGCCAGAGCCGAAACTGCCGATCCGTTTTTTTTTTTTTTTTTTTTTTGCGCCCGAAGCAATTGGAAAAGGGCTACCACTGAGGGAGGCGGAAAATGCATTATGCATACCACGACAGCCGGTCTGTCCTGGTTATGTGGGACTCACTGCCTACCGGGGGACCTAAGTGATACCCACTAAAAACCGCCTTTGGGGACTGGCAACTAGCTCTATTAAAGCTGCATATGCCGTATCTAAAGCGACCCTCTTTTGGGAAAAGAGGGCGCAGACGGCTAAGTGCCGTTTAGGGACTGCCTACGAAGGCATATTATTAATTTTAACTAGTTTTTAATTTAATTAGGATTGGCCTGAGCCGCCAGGAGGCAGTTCAGGTCGTTTGACAACTTATTTGGCGGGTCCAAGAGAGTGTTTCTCGGCCTGCGGACGCTATAGCGAGAAGGGAGTGGGGCGGTATAAGTAACTGCCTCACGAATAAGTGTGTTAGTATGCGACTCTGATACTTTAAAGAAGTTTTCAGAGAATTTTTTAAGACATTGCTGGATTGTTGGGATTTCTAAATCCCGGTGAAGGTCGGCATTACGGACGTACCAAGGTGCGTTCGTAGCTCGACGACAGAAGAGGTTTTGAACTACTTGGAGTTCGTTAATAATTTTATCGTTAGCGTGTGCAAAAATAGGAGCCGAGTAAGTCATAACCGGTCGTATACAAACCTTATAGAGGGTTCGCTTATTTCGTAATGACATTTTGCTATGTCTGCCTAACATACTGTTAAGCCGACCTAAATAGAAACGTGCTAGACGCGTTACTCTTTTGACATGAGACTCAAAAGTAAGCCTATAGTCAAGGGTGACGCCTAAATATTTTGCTGACATGTGCCATGGGACAGGGGTCCCTAGCATTCGTATAGGTGGAGTATTTTTCTTGTTTTTATTACGGCGTCTTTTAATATCGAATTGAACTGCGGAGCTCTTCTCCGGGTTCACATCGATACGCCATTTTTGGAACCAGTCTCCTAGGTCATCGACTGACTTTTGGATCTTGTTCCTTGCTGAAGATATTCTAGGACTTTTGAAGTATAGTGCAGTGTCATCTGCGAAGAGTGAGAGCTGTACACCATTCGACGGGATAGGAATGTCGTTGGTGTACAAGATGTACAGGAGGGGAGCTAGTACTGATCCTTGAGGAACACCAGCTTTAATGGGGCGCTGAGAGGATAACGTGCCTTCGTGTCTAAAACGAAAGGTACGATGTTGTAAATAAGAGGCTACGAGACGTACTAGACGATCGGAGAGTCCTATCCTATATAATTTGAAAATAAGGCCTTCATGCCAGACTCGGTCGAAGGCTTTGGCAATGTCGAAAAAGACCGCGATTGTCTTTAGTCGACGTGGATAAAAACCGCTGAGGATATATTCCACAATGCGGTGTACCTGTTGTGGACACGAGTGTTTTGCGCGGAAACCAAATTGGTGTGGGATGACAATGGGGTCACCGTCTGTGGGAAACAGATGGCGCCTCATTCGATTTTGAATGACTCTTTCAAAGAGTTTGCCCATGGCCTTTAGGAGGCTAATGGGACGATGACTGGAGGGGAGGTTAAGAGGCTTGCCTGGCTTGGGAATACCAATGACAATTGCCTCTTTCCAAGAAGTGGGAAAGTAACTAAGATTAAAACAGGCGTTAAAGATAATAGCTAAGAGGGTTAACACCTGCTCTGGAAAGTATTTAAGGGCTTGGTTGGATATGCCATCCGCGCCCGGAGATTTTTTGGGCTTAAGTCCTTTGATGAGGGACGAGATCTCATCATTGGACACAGTGATAGGGTCAGAGGTTGTGGGGGGTGAGTTCCGGCGGCGGACCTCATCCTCCACTTCCTGAATATGTGAGGGGTCGACAGGTTGAGAGCTAGGAGAACATTGTGCGGCAATGCTGTCTGCAAAGCACTCAGCCTTCTCGTCGTCCTCGAAGGCAACCGTACCGTCGGGGCGGGAGAGAGGGGGAGTGTGAGTTGTAGCGTCTATACGGAGGGCTCTAGCCATCTGATAGTACGCTGTATGTGAGGGAGATATATTCTCCATGAGTTCACTCCTTTGGAGCTCTCGAAATTCATAAAGGTGCGAACGGAGTTTTCGTTGAAGACGATTAGCCGTATGCCTATATTCGGGGGTGGGATATTTAGCTGCTCTCCGGAAAGCAGCTTTTTTAGCTTTTAATATGTTGCTAATATATAGGGGAAGCCCATTAGTATTAGCAACCGGAACGACCCTTTCATTCTCCTTAAGGGAGGATTTAATTAGGGTTGAAAGTGATTCGACCGCGGTGTCGATTTTTACAGGACTGTCTAGGTCCGACGATAGGTAATTAGGGGAGTCCTGCGAGTCCATAGCTTTTGCTAGTGAGTCCTTGAAACCCTTCCAGTTAGTGAAGGTTTTCGTAGTTATAATAGGGGGTGGCTGATGGCCAAGAATAAGAGAGACCGGTCGGTGATCGGATCCTATATCGTCTAGTGTCTCAATAGACCTGAGGTTGAGTGAAACTCCTTTGAGTAACGCAAAATCTAGTACATCTGGATTATAATCGGTATTATCGGGATAGTGCGTTGCACCGAGCGGGCTGAAAACGGTTAAGTCAAGAGACTGCGTTATATCACGCAGTATCCTACCATTAGTATTAATCGTACGGCATGTCCATTCAGTATGTTTAGAGTTGAAATCTCCAAACATAATGACTGAATTACTTTGAGATAAGATTGCCTCAAAATCATCTTTGGCCGATCCGTCGCTGCGTGTTCGTTTTATACCCGTTGCAAAACAAGTCGAGTAGTGGGACGGTGGGGGAAAGCGTGCGGCGCGCCGGTGACGTGATCGGTGCACGTGCTGTTTACAGTTATCAGCTGTGCCGGCGTACGACGACGCTGTCGTTATGCCGTCACAGCCATTCTGACATGCGGACGTCCTCGTACGCAGCAACAGAATCACTATCGTTCTGAAACAGTAGGCATCGCTCGATTATCCTGACAAAAAATCATAAATTTTTACAAATTCGGCAATATGTTCTGGTCCGGTCTATAATGACCCTGCAGATATTAATAATCAGCTCTGGTCCGGTCTACATTGACCCTTCAGGAAATTAGTATTGGACCGGTTCCTTTGAACCCTGCAACACTAATCAGTTTTGGTCCGGCAATATGCCCTTCAAAACGTCTTTTTTTTTCTCTTTTTTTTTGTAACTTTTATCATTGGACCGGCTAAGCCCTACAATGATAATTTTCAAGATACATGTTAATCACTATCATTAGCTCTATGGATATCAGCTTGTGTTACTATAATTGTAGGTTCAGAATAAACAGACATGGTATCTTCAGAATCAATTGAAATCGTACGTGAGCTAGTAGTATGATAGTCGTCTTTTTCTGAAGTTAATGTACTAGAGCCAGCAGTATCAGTTTCAGAGGTATTATCAAGTTGGGCATAGATTTCATGATCATTAATATCCGCTTGCTGTAGTTCTTCGTTATCTTCACTACAGTTTTCAATAATATCTAGACAAGCAGAGGGACCACGGGGCACCTCTCTTAAGTTTTCATGGGAATATTTAAAAATTCGATTTGACCCATTTATATGTTTTAATTCATAGCGATCATTATTCAAGACAGCAGTAATTTTAAAAGAACCTTTGTACTTCCTATCTAGTTTGGTCTGATGTCTTTCTTCGGATTTCACAAACACGTAATCACCTATAGAAAATGGTTTAATTTTGGCTTTACCTTTGTTGAAGCGAATGGAGTCCGCTTGTGATAATTTAATGATATTATCTACGCGCTTGCTCTAATGTTATCAAGGTCTAATCTATGTTTTTCATTGTCTGGGAAAGAAGTAGCTATTTTAGACAGCCCTAAGGAATTACCTTGAATTCCAAACATTAGTTCGATAGGTGTGAATCCGGTCACCCTACAACGTGTGCCATTGAGGGCTAATTGAATTTCACCTATCTGATCCTGCCACGAGCTATCGGAATCGCATTCTATTATCGTGAGCAGACTTTTAAGAGTTCGCATCACTCTTTCGACCTGGCCATTAGCTCTACTGGAACCCGTTGCAATTAGATGTAAATGAATGTTATGATCTTTACAAAAATTTTTAACATCTGAATTGTCATATGAACGTCCACGATCAGCAATTATTCTTTTGGGAGCACCAAAAAGATTTACCAAATTTTTCAGTGCTTTAATAGCATGACAAGAATTTAACGAAGTAGTATGTTCCAAAATTACAAATTTTGTAAAGGCATCTATAGCAACAGAGCAATATTGTGTTTTAAATCGCTTTTACCAGTTAGTTTGCCAGACAAATCTAGATGAATAGTATGCCATGGAATAGCTGGTTTTAGGATTGGGTGTAATTGTACTTGTTGAGCACCCGAAGGTCCCTTAGATGCTTTGCATATTACGCAGGAATCGATATATTTTTTAACATATTTTGCCATATTCGGAAACCAGTAGAGATCATACAATTTATCGAGAGTTTTTTCGTAGCCAAGATGTTTTATTTCATTGTGAACATGGCCGATTAGGGTCCATGTTAATGATCTAGGAACAATGGGTAACCATCTTGAAATTTTGCCCCGTTCAATTTTTCGAAAGAGAACGCCCTGTCTAATATCGTACGTGTGTGATATTTCAGTCGGATAATCACTGGACCTTAATTTTGAAATGGTATCTGCGATCTCAGAATCACGTTGTTGTTCTACAACAAGCCATCCCTTTTCCAGCTCTGTAAGATTAACGATCTTTGGTGTTTGATTGACACTTTGAGATAGATCGTCATGAGCAAAATTACGTGAAAAAAAAATCAGCATGAGCCATATTTCTACCTTCTTTATAAACTATATCGAAATCATAGGACTGCAATATAGCCCACCATCTATGTACTCTGGGCATCAAGTCTTTCTTTGAGTGAGAAGCTTTTAGAGAACTGCAGTCAGAAAAATTGTAAATTTATGACCGTACAAATAGTGCCGAAAATGCTCTACAGCCTTAACTACCGCCAAAGTTTCGAGCTCGTATGAGTGATAACGACTCTCTGCACCAGTTGTTCGGTGGTTGAAGTAAGCAATCACGTGAGGTAAATGATTTACTTTTTGTATCAGAACTGCGCCGTAACCTTCGCTACTCGCGTCTGTGTGAAGTTCTATGGGTAGCTTTGGATCAAATATTTTAAGAACAGGCTCGGTTGTCAAATGAGTAATTATAGTTTTTAGGACTTTATTATGATCGGGGGTCCACGATATTTTCCCTTTCCCAGCGGCAGTCAAAGGGTAAAGAGGTTTTAGTAATTTAGAGAAATTGGGAATGAATTGACGGAAATAAGAGGCCAAGCCAATCAATTGTCTTACTTATGGATCGGTGCTTGGGGTTGGCAATTTTTGCAAAGCTTCTATTTTCCGATGATTTGGTCTAATTTCTCCAGAAGAAATCGTATATCCCAAATATTCGATCTTCTTTTTCATAAATGAACATTTATCAAAATTGAAAGAAAACCCTGAATTAGAAAGTGTTTCTAGTAATTTGTCTAGCCTCACTAAACCTTCACTGACCGTTTCCGATACAGAGAGTACGTCATCCATGTAAACTAGGATTCTGTCATCATCAAGGGGCTTAAGTGCGGAGGTGATGGCTCTTTGAAAGACCTGTGGGGCATTTCGAAGCCCAAAAGGCATAGTTAGATATTCGAACTGACCGATTGGAGTAACGAAAGCAGTTTTTTCTACTGAGTCTTCATGAATCTTGATCTGATGAAACCCAGAGGCCATATCTATACTTGAGAAGTAATTTGCTCCGTGTAGCTTATCTATTTGGTCACTAATCAATGGAAGTGGGTAGCTATCACTATCAGAACGCGTATTTTTATTCAACTCGCGATAATCAACACACAAACGATCACTACCATCTTTCTTTTTTACTAACAATGTGGGACTTGCAAAGGGTGAAGAACTTTCTCGGATAATATTTGCATCTAATAGTTCTTTGACTTTATTATTAACGATTTCCAATTCCAAAGGAGATAGTCTATAAGGTCGCCTATGAGCTATTTTGCTTGGGTCAATAAGTTGAATTTTTAACTCGCCAGTGGTAACCTGCGTGGTTGGTAGCTGGTTAATAAAATTGTTGGAATACTTATTTAAAATACTAATAAGCTTTTCTTTATCGGAGCCCGTTAAGTCAGTATCAATAGTTTGTAGTCCATTGTTCAGCTTTGTACAGAAATTTGTTATCTTGGGCTTCAAAAAATGTATTGAGTTACTATTAATTTCCACAGAAACTTCGTTTTGCAATATATCACGTCCTAACAAAACCTCTTCGTTTGTACATTCGTCCGGTAATACGTGAAAAGTTACATTTAAAGGCAAACCCTGAATGCAAACCGAGCATCTTACTTGCAAAGGAGATATAATGCTATTGACCCCTATACCCTTTAATAGAATCTGATCATGAAACCTATCACCCTCAAGGTGATCACTTTTACTTCGTTTAATGAGACTACATTCTGAACCAGAGTCAAAAATAAACGACAACTTCATACCACTAGTTTCCAGGGTACCGCGAGCTGCCTTGGAGCACAGGTTGACTTGCTTGCTGCCCGATGGGGCGTCTTCTTTCTTGACAGGTCGCTTAGGACAGTTGCTGGCTATGTGGCTGGTGTCATGACAGATGTAGCAGGATGTCATCGTCTTCCTTTGCTCGGGTTTATGTGAGACAGATATATTTTTATTAGTGAAACGATGTTTGTCACGACATTCGAAACCGCGGTGTCCAACTCTTCCACAGAAGTGGCAACTACCCTTAAACATTGTAGACGTTCGAATTTTCTTGTGTTCTATTTCTGATGAGACGGACTCGTCATTGCATCTTTTAAGTGAAATTCCCCGCAAGATACGAAAAAGTTGATGCTTATCGTTTACGACAACTGAATTCAATTCACGACGAATTTTGTCGTCACATTGGGATAAAACAGAGACCACAAAACCAGTGATAACGTGTTCGGGTAAGTTGGCATCAGGGATTCTTTCAATCAGCTGCCATAAACGCAAGCCGGCCTCAGCGGGACTATCTTTATTACAAATGCGAAACTTAATTATTTGATCGAAATGATCTAGCATCATCATAGGTTTACAAAAATTTGAGATAAGCATTTCCTTAATGGTGGGCCAAGAAATTTTGTCAGGTTGTATTTTTGTAAGGCAGGTAGCAGCACGCCCCTTAAGGGAATGAGTTAGTGCAATGATAAGGTCAACACCTTCTAATTTTCTTTTTTCTATGATCATTTCGCTTAATGCGCACCAGTTGCTAATATCAGACTCAGGGACATCGGGGTCGAAAGATACCAAAACTGTCGGTATGGTAGATGAACAGTTTTGTTGCGAATTTATGCTATCAGCCATTTTTTTGAACATTGTTTCCATTCCAGAGAAGAAAGAGATTGGTGGTTGTGCCAAAACATTATGGAGTGGGGGTGGATCTGATCCCACTTCTGATGTAGGGGCGAGGTCGTCCATGGTGAATAAGTAGTCTCAGAGATTTACGGAACACTATTTATTTTATTTTATTATAAATTGCAGTAGTGCACTTTTACAATCAAGGATAATAATTAATTCTATATTAATTATCTGTGAGCGTCTAGGATAAGCTACAACCTGGTACAACTAGTGCACCGAGTCACGCCAGAGCCGAAACTGCCGATCCGTCGCTGCGTGTTCGTTTTATACCCGTTGCAAAACAAGTCGAGTAGTGGGATGGTGGGGGAAAGCGTGCGGCGCGCCGGTGACGTGATCGGTGCACGTGCTGTTTACAGTTATCAGCTGTGCCGGCGTACGACGATGCTGTCGTTATGCCGTCATATATATATATATATATATATATATATATATATATATATATATATATATATATATATATATATATGTATGTATGTATTGTATAAACATTGGAGATTCATCATAAAAATGTCATAAATACATTCAAGTTGGACACGGTTACGTACATAACTCTATTTTATAGCATAATTTAACTTTTAATAAAACTAAACAAGTCGTTAATTGACTAAAAACAATATAATTTAACATAATACCCTCTGCAGTTGGTGCGTGAAGTTTCATCTTCAAAAGCTATTATTTGGAAATTAGTTTATTCTTTTATCGTCTTTGAAGTCTGGTTTTACTTTCAATCAAGTTGAAGTTTTGATTCATTTATGTGAATTAAGGGATATCACGGGTTCAAGATAATAATTGTATTTTTTATAGAATGGGGGTGACAGCACACAGGACACCTGATGGTAAGTGGTTGCTGTGGCCCATAGACACACATACTACACACTACATCTATCCTAGATTAAGAATCTAAATGCAGATGCGTTGTCACCTCTGAGGACTAAGATGCAATGCCTCGTTTCCAGTAAAAAGTAGAACATCATCTAAATAGTTGACATTATTAGTTTTCACCCTCAGGACTTTTCTCTATGGAATCACCTCCGAAGTAAAACCTATTTATTTAAAAAAAAAAGATTAATTAAAATTGGTTCACAATTGACTAAGATATCGTGTAAGACATACACAAGAGGAAAAAAACCATACCTGTCGAAGAACCTCCTTTTTTAATTTTGCTAAAAGGCTTTAAATCCGATGTACATAACATTAGGATGTCTGTACTAGTGAATACAAAATATGGCTGTGCATTTGACATGCAGACATGCAATCTTCGATCAACTATAATCGCAATACTAATTGAGGTCTAATCACTGTATTTGTAATCATCCATCCATCCGTCCATTAGCTTGTTCTCGTAGTATAAGCACGCGCGAAGGCGGCAGTGGGCGCGGTGGTTTGGGCGAGCTAGCGTTCACGTTGGCCGCCAGGTGTTTGTACCATTGTGATGATTTGTCAGAGGTTGTAAACATGGACGACGATCTTTTATTTGTCGGAAAGTACAGGATAAGGCCAATTCTGTAGAGGATAAAACAATAGCGTTAGTTGTTAAAAACGGTAAAGGCGTGAGAGCATATTCAACTTGCTTTCTTGCTCACGCAATTAATCATTATCAATCAATAACAGGACAGCGTAACGTACTACACATTTAGTATGGAGCAATTACAGTTTGACTATACCGTAATATGTCCTCGTCATAATTACACACTGGTGTAATGTGAAGAACATAATCACATGATAACACCAAAGTATGCAAATCAACAGCAACACCACCTATCTTAACGTAACACAGCATAGCCTCTGAACAATACCATCCTCCTTGCCTGCACCAGAAGCATCACCACAACGGATGGGACCCCGACTCTATCTTAGCATGCGTAGAATTACTCAAGCAGAATCTGTCGCGCTCTGCATCTATACTGAACTGCACAAACGAGTGAGTAACAAACACTATTAATCACCAATTCGTCGGCTCGTCCATCCTGACATGAATAAGTACACTGTCCCTGGTTTTGGACAGTATACACATACGCAAGGCGATTGATTACGTTTAACCTCGTGCAAACTAACACTATCTAAGGCGTCCTTTTGATCAGCCATCATCTAAAATGATGACTTGGACCGTACAACCTACCTACTAGTCATCATCTCATATGACAACTTGGACCGGACAACTGGTTTTCTGGCGGTCATTTTATATGACGAAGCCCAACTCCGAGAGTGGCAACGTCCCTTCGACCAGATATCATCATCTCATATGACAACGTGAACCGGACAACTAGATCTGCCCGTCATCTCACATGACGACACCTAACTCATACAGTGATAGCGTACCTTCGACCAGTCATCATGTCATATGACAACGTGAACCGGACAACTGATTCTGCCAGTTGTCCGGTTCACGTTGTAATAATTAAAACCAATAACATTTTTGTATAAAACGTGTTCAGTAAGATTTTCTTTTTTTTTCTTTGAAGTATGTACATGTAAAAAACTTTATAAAGCTGTAACAAATACTTGGAAGTCGATGCGTGAAATGCAAGGTTTCTTAGTAAGTACCTACATGGAAATACACGATTTTAGTTATTTTTAGCAAAAATAAATTATATTTACGAAATTCTTGATTGCAATTAAATGACCGCTGATATGGTAAAATACTGTAAGTATATACACGTTAATACGTTAATATATACGTTAATAGTTATTAATCAAAGAAAATAAATTATTTGCTGTGTAATGTTTAGTACAGACAAAAATAAATTTATCAACCGAGTAAAAAATTACTGACGCCGACCCTGCCAGGATTCGAACCTGGAATCTTCTGATCCGTAGTCAGACGCGTTGTCCATTGCGCCACAGGGCCTTTTACCCTTAGTGTTAAAATAAGTAATCATACTATTAAAACTGTTCTAATCTCATCAAACAAAATTGACCTTTAGTTTAACCGCACTCTTTTCAACAAAAATCGTTACTTACTGTTACATTCCACTACCTCATAACAAGAACTAAGGCAGCAGCGTTTTCTAAATAAAAAAATAAAAATCTGCAATTGCCAATCCGCCAAAGCGTGACAACTATGGCAAATATCCCCCCTATGAGGCAACCTATTTGGGAGGCCTATATTAAGTAGTCGACTTTGACCAATCAACAACTGTAACGATAATACCAACAAAACAAGTACGTCAAACGTATACGTATGAATGAAAATGTTTTTATATTTTTAATATAATAAGTACCAAGTTCCAAGTTTCAACGTGGTAGAGCCCCAAAGTGGTAGAACCAAGATGCAGCTATATTATGGTTGCAGCACGAATGCGTTGCCCGGGGAACGACCACTCTCACAGAATACCACCGTGAAATAGCTTATATAAATAAAATTAATATTTACCAAATGAAATACCATGACTGAAAAAAGCTGTAAAAATCTGGTTAGAAAACTTAATGTAGAGACTGAACTTTTAAAGCCTAATACTCGTATAAACCGACTTCTCACACTCACCATACACAAACATACACAGACACTCTCTCACACAATCACGCAGATATCCTACTAACAGTTCGAAATTGAGTAATTTTTATATATATTTTTTTAATTTTCAATTTAATTTTAATTTAAAGTAGTAATATTTTACTACTACGAAAGAGCGGGAACCTCTACTCCAGGTATCTATTCTTCAGATATTTACTTTTTCGTTTTCTTATTTTAAATCAACAAATCATTTATAATAATAATAATAATAATAATATTCCACAACTATCACACAACGCCATCTAGTCCCAAGCTAAGCAGAGCTTGTGTTATGGGTACTAGACAACTGATAAACATACTTATATATTTCTAAATACATAAATATTATAGATAAATTACACCCAGACACAGAACAAATGATCGTGCTCATCACACAAACATTTGTCCTGGGTGGGAATCGAACCCACGACCTCCGGCATAGCAGTCAGGGTCACTAACCACTAGACCAACAGGCCTGTCTAATATTATATTTATAATTATTAATGCGGCCAGTAACAGCAAACCATTTTCAAACAAACTGTCGAAAACTCAACAGCCAAATAAATTGAAGTCGTTTAGCAAAAAATATCAAATACTTAAAGTTTCGTAAACAGTTTTCAGTGTTTAACTTTCCGGAAACCTTACAAATTATTCGGTTTTGTGAGTGGACTAATTATTAGAACAGTCGGTAGTTTCTCAAATTTGTAACAATTTGATTGTTGAAGCGTAGTTCAGTGGGTGTACTTAACAAGTACTTATATGGCCTCTTTTCTATAAAAATGAAGTGACAATCGAACTTTTTATACGTGGTAGAGCCATGTTGCAGCTATATTTGTAGTATAGTTTTGTAGCACGAATGGGTCGGCTCGGGGAAGGACCACGCTCTCACTGAATACCAGCGTAAAATAGCTGCTTAACGCTGCTGTGTTTGGTATGGTGAGTGTAGAGAACGGGAGACCCTTTTTACTGGAAAAGAGGCATTCCATCTTAGTCCTCACGGGTGACAATGCATCTGCATCTTGATTCGCAAAGGAGGATAGATGTAGATGTATACGGGCCTCAGCATCCACTTACCATAAGGTGGACTGTGTGCTCGTTTGTCACCCTATCATATGAAAAAAAACTTACAGTATCATCTGATAATAAGTGGTTATAGCAGTCAACTTTTAACAAAGAATGCTACAGATGTGTTGTCACCTTTTAGGACTAAAATGGAACGCCTCTCAGTCTGTCATAATACTGGCTGTCTATACGCTTCGGACCGAAACACAGTAGTGCAAGCACCGAAGCACTGCTATTGGGCTGCTGAAATGGGTAAAAGGCTTGTACCTACCCAGGCGGACTCCTAGCCCTTAACCTACTGTTAAATAAAAACTGTTCTATTCTACGCACGCACGCACGAGTTTGCGCGTATACACACCTTCGGCGTTAATGTAATTAGTTTTATTATTTTATTTGATGGCTCCGTGGCGCAGTGGCTTAGCAAGTTGCTGCGCTGGGGGCCGCGGGTTCGAATCCCGCACGGGACAAGTATTTGTATGGCCTACAAATAATTGTTCCTGGTCTGTTTGTTTGTCCTTCTGCAATTTGTGTTTGTAAACTGCCTTCACGATACAGGAGAAAATCCTAGTGTAGGGGTAAAGTTTAGAAAAAAATTATAGTCAATTATTATGTAAAGGTCATGCAAGTAGTAAATGTTAGTGTTATGGAAGAGTGGAGTCTACTAACAAGTTTTTATACTTAAAAGGAGACCCCGTCCCCGGTTATAATTAATGTATTATCATTTACTGAATAAACTATTTTTTTTATACCATTCTACACAGCTCCAATGCCCTTTCAGTAATTCTATGTTGCTCCTTTACGCTTACGTAACTTCAATACAGCTAGTACTGAAGAAGCGATCGAGCGGAATCAAGGCCCAAAGTCTTTGCCAGCGATCTGTCTGCCAGAAAGAGCTAACTGTTGAAGCTGAAGACTGAATGAGGTAGCATCGTTTCCGTGACAGTTGACATTTTGAGTGTGAGTTCTACGGGCAGCTGTACACGTTATTCCTGGAGCCACACGCAAGTGTCAGTAACGATCCAAGAGCAAGTCTTATCCGAAACTAATCCGATGATATTCCGGACGTCAGTCTGAGCGAGATTAGAATGGCTCGTCAGTACCTTAAAAATGGCAAAGCCCCAGGCAAGGATGGAATTACAGCGGAGCTTCTGAAAGCGGACGGAAAACTAATACAAGAAGTACTACAGAGGCTCTTTAAATCCGTTTTTCTCGGTGGCACTAGTCTGGAGGCGTGGAGCTGAAGTGCGGTGGTCTTATTTTTCAAGAAATGCGAAAACGCTCCATTGAAGAACGACAAACCGATTTTCCTTTCAAGCCGCGTCTACGTGCTGTTTTTGAGAGTCATTACGATTCGTCTCACACGCAGACTGGACTACTTACAGCCTCCCGAACAAGCCGGAGTCGAAAAGGCTTTAGTACCTTAGACCAGATACTTAGATTTTGGCAAATTGTACAGCAAACCGAAGAGTACAATCTACCACTTTGCCTTGCGTATGTGGACTATGAGAATTTATCTAAAAATAGACTGTACCAATAGTTAATTGAGAATTTTTTTTATGACATTAATTTTGTGACATTGTAAGCTACTTTCTGACATAGTATCCTGACCATTAGAGTGCTGTGATTCTGACATTGTACTTGAAATATAATTTAAAAAAAAACGTTTAATTAGTTAAGTTTATATATCATAATTATAGGTCGGTCATTTTATTGTTTAAAGTGTTTTATTGTTTAATGTAGGTACCTACTTATGATTTAAATACAATTTGCATGCTATATTATACTAGCTGTGCCCCGCGGTTTCACCCGCGTCATCACGTGTCCGAGGTGCGCGACATGACCTAATTCAAGCATTTTATAACGGCTAGGGTTTAAGCGTCCTTCGCGCGCCCAGTCAAGTATTGAATTATTTTAATTTTACATTATCTCTTAAACTATGCGTCCAAATGACATGGTATAAAGAACAAAGTTTATCTTCATAAAATTGTCTTGATGATGAAGTAACTTTCGTTCGTAAGGATAAATAGGCCATGCCTAATAATAACGCTCATAAATCACTTTTAAATTTTCAATATTTTTTTGTCACAAAATACCAAATTATGGCTTATGTCAAAGATGTTTTATAGGTCCAGATACCGTGTACGCGCGCCTAAAACGCTTCCATTTCAAAGGCGCCAATATTGGCGTATTCGTTCGATCGTTCCGCCATTACGCCAGCGACGTTCGCTGTGAACATACGTCACGCACCGGTGTTTTTAATTTCGCAAAATGACTGTTTGTGCTGTGGAATCATTTAAAAATTACTCTTGGAAAAAAGATAAGGATAAGAACATCACTTTTCATAAGTAACTATACAATTTTATGGTGTATTTCTTTGTAAAAGAATACGAAAGCTAAATGTCAATACAAGTAATAATACTGCGCAATATTATTCGAGTGTTGCCTAGTCTATGAAATGTTTTTACCATTTTTTAATGTCATGATCAACCACAAAGGCTATCTGTATAGGGGTCTAATTTTACAGATTTTACCCAACCTATAGATTTACACCGTTTTAAGGGTTAGGGTTGAACTACATCTGGCAGCATGAAATTGCACTTTCCTGTGCTTCTATCCTTTTTGGTCACTCAGAACCGTTATAGTAGTAACCGGTATAGTTCCACCCTCAAAAAGCCGATTGTAAACCGGTTTTAAAAGTTTATCTATCATTCTTGACAATTCATACTAATATAATATTATAAATGTGAAAGTGTGATTTTTTTTGTTTGTTTTTGTCCTTCCTTCACGCAGCAGCGGAACGGAGCAATTTAAAAAAATTAAACATTTTGCTATCTCTTGGCTGAAATTTACGCTTAACCAAACTTACTTTTTTTCGTCATTTTACTTAGGATTGAAAAATAATTTAATGTCTTCGTTAAAAGCGGCAATATTTTGTGTTCTACAGTACAAAAGTATAGTACTCTGTATATATTTAGTAATAACAGATTATAAATATATGTTACATACATAAATATCTACTGTGCTTTTTTATTTATTTTAATTGTTACATTAATTATAGGTTTTATTACATATCTTCAATATTTTAGTGCGATGTTCGTACCTACATAAAACACACATAAGCAACCATATCCCCATACACACACACATAAATGCACACGCCACGCACACACATTTTATACTCTTAGAATCAATAGGTACGTCAATAGGAATGAAATATAAAATCTCCCACATTTTTTGGGTAATTGATTCGCACTGTTATTACCGAAGTCACGCACATTA